TATTAGGCCAGGGGAATATATCATTATTATTTGGGCAAAAACACAATCTACATTTCAACTCTGTGATTACTAACTTTGGTTCAATTTATTCTGAATTTATCTTAAAGTGGCAAGTGGCAACCATGGGCAATATAAACATGACTCAAGGTTACAAATTATGCAAACAGAATAGAAAGTAAAAACTGACCAGATGTACATGGTAAGGCTTCATAAAAATTTCCAAGTGTATTTGTGTTAATAAGTTCATATATTTGAAAATATCCATTTTTTGTAAGAGTTTTAAAAATATAAACCTAAGTAGTAGAAAATGAAATTAAAAACCTTTCTCAAATATCTTTCTGATAATTTGTCAAAATTCCTTAACATTTTAAAAGAATGGAAGGTTGGTCTAAGTTAATGAAAGTAAAATCATGTTGGTTGTTTTATAATTGGTTACTGTATTCTTAGAGAATTATAATTTCAAAGTTTTCCTCAAAACAATGAATTATATACAAGACTATTTTTACATATAATTTTGCTTTTACCAAAAGGTATTTTAACAACTTAGTTAACCCTACAGGTTTGACTATATACAAAAATAAGTAAGATAATTGCTGTTCCTAGAAAGGAGGTACAGATAACATGGAAACAAAGAACTAATCATTCAACAAAGATTGGTTCAACAAAGTATATTTAAGAACCATATACTCTATCACTACTAAGAACACAGCGGTAAACAAGAAAAGAGATTTCTGCTCTCCTTAGTGGCAAAGACATGGACTCTGTACAAATAAATTTAAGCCAAGTACAGTAGCCTCTGCCTTATCCACAGGGGATATGTTCCAAAACCTCTAGTGGATGCCAGAAACGAATAGTACCAAACCCTACATATACTATGTTTTTTCCTGTATATACAAACCTATGATAAAGTTTAATTTATAAACTAGGTAATTTCACAAGTAGAAGATTCATTCTGACTATACATCTTAGCAACCTCAAAATACAAATTTTTTCCTTTCCTTGGGTCAAGAGTTTTCACGTTTTTACTTAAAGGAGGCACTTTATGGCTTCTCTTTGGCATATCTGAATTGCCAGCATTGCCACCCTTGTGCTTTAGGGTCATTATTAAGTAAAATTATGGTTACTTGAATACAAACACTGCAATACTGCAACAGTCGATCTGATCACCAAGATGCTAAGTGACTAACGGGCAGGTAATATACACAGTGTGAATGAACACACTGGATAAAGGGATGAATCAGATGCAGCAGGACAATGACAGCACGGGACTTCATCATGCTATTCAGAACTGCAGGCAATTTAAAACTTGTGAATTATTTCTGGAATTTTCCATTTAATATTTTCAGACCACAGCTGACCCACAGTTGCGGGTAACTGTGACACTGCAGGTAAGTGGGACTACTATATTACAGAAAGAAAAGTCAAGAAAACCAGAGAAGGCCCTGGACCATGTGGCTTGGTTGGGCATTGTGCCTTGCACCAAAAGACTGCTGGTTTGACTCCCAGTCAGGGCACGTGCCTGGGTTGCAGGCTGGATCCCTGATAGGGGGTGTGCAGGAGGTAGTTGATTGATCTTTCACTCTCACATTGATGTTTCTCTGTCTCTCCCTTCCTCTCTCTCTAGAAATCAATAAAAACACTAAAAAAGAAACAAAGAAAACCAGAGAAAGTGCAATTGATTCTGTCCAGAAAGCTTAAAAAAACTTAAGGAAATTGTTGATATTTTAACTGGGTATTAAAGACTGAGAAGTATTAAAAAGCAGAGGAGGACCAAGAAGCTACTGGGTCAAGCAATACATCAGTGAGACAGTAGTTACAATGAAATGGAGGGGGAAGAAACCAAACCAAATGGGATGAAATGGTAATAAAAAGAAGTGGAACCAACAATACACTACTCTAAAAAAATAGAAGGCGGTGTGAAACAAGTGTCTTTTTTTTGTTGTTGCTAGGTAGTATTCCATAGGGATGTATCACATTAAAGAATTTTTTTCAATTACAAAAAAATAGAAGGAAAAGTAGAATAGAAGAGTTTGGTGCTTATATGGTTTAAAACTCAATGAAAGGGAGAGTAAAACCATTATAAAGAGTAAACAAGCCCTGGCTGGTTTGGCTCGGTGGTTAGAGCATGGGCCCAAGGACCAAAGAGTCTCGCGTTCAATTCTGGTCAAGGGCACGTACCTCAGTTGCAGTTCGGTCCCTGGCCCTGGTTGAGTCCTGCAAGGGTCTTTCTTTTTTTTCTATCTCTCTCTTTCCCTCCCTCTCTCCTTCCCTCCCTGCCACTCTATCTGAAGATAAATGGAAAAATATCCTGGGGTGAGGATTTAAAAAAAAGAGTAAACAAATACAGCAAATCCTTCATCCGAACAATGTGAGACACAGATAATCCATTTTTAACCATGGAAAAGTTCTCTAATTCAGAGGTAGAGCTCTTCAAGCTGCAAAAAACATTCATTTAAAACCATACAACTGGGGGGGCCAAGCCCCTGCCCCACCCCTTCCCTCCCCAGATATTTATGTGAAATTAATTGTGGCTTTATTTTTTGAAATAAAAACTTTTAAAAAGCAAAAAGTAAATAAATAAAACCATACAACTGGAGTAAGTTCATGGACCTATTCCCATTTCAGTCTAAGATTAAGCACTACTCACTATTCGAAATAATACAATTATATCAGAATTAAGTTTTTAGGCCCACAATAAAAAGACTATTTCTACAATAAAATATTTCACGAATTTAGGATCTTATCTTGAGACTAAAATGATATAACCAAAAATCTCCATAGCATTACTACAAACTTTCAAAGAAAAATCAGTACTATTTGAACATTTGATCAGTTAAGTGAAGTATGTCTCACAGGTAGTGACTAGGATAGCTCAGAAAAGGTTTAACCATAAGAAACATAATACTCCCTGCTCATAGCATCCCGGTTCACTGGAAACTACTCTACTCAGTAGCAGCAGAGGATCAAAACATGTTCTTAGCATGTCAAAGATTTCTCCAAACTGTTACACTATGTTTGTGAAGCCTGACTTTCTTCTAGCTGGCTAAGCCAGCGTGGCTACTGTCCAAACACATAGACTTATACTCATAAACGTATGCAAACTTTAGTTACCAGCCATGTAAATTATGAAGGTCACTGTACCTTTTACTTTTTAATATTAAAAGCTGTGAACAATATGAGATCCTCCATCATGTGTAATTATCTTATCTGGAGTAAAATTAAATATCGTTAAATCCCAGGACTTCTCTGTGCTGCCCAGTATGTCTGTAGGCCTTCGCATACAACCACCATTTAGTTTAGTGGGATCTGTCAGAATACAAACTAATGTAAACAAGAAGTATGAGAATACTCTGAGGTAAATCCCTATATTCTGACATGGAAATGTATTCATGAGATATCATTAAATAAAAAAAGTATTATAGAATAATATGATTTCATTTGTAAAAAAAAAAGTATTACATATTTGCATACAGGAGTTTAGAAAATGGGAGGATTCATATCAAAAGATTAATAGTAGTTATAAGTGGAAAGACGAAGGATTGAAGGGCATGAAGACAGTGGAAGCGCCTTTATACCAAACACACACATACACACACACACAAAATGGTTAATTACTGTGTCTAGATTTTGTAGAAAAAAAGAAAAACTTCAAAAAAAAATAACCAAGGCAAATTACCTATTAGAGTCAATCTGTTGGGGAAAAAATTTACCTAATTTCAAGTATTTTGTAAACTCTCTAAGACACATTTGCCCAATAATAAAGACAACTCTATTTATATTAATCATAAAGTTACTAGACATAAAAATGCAACTTTGCTCCTTCTTAGTCATCACTGCTATTCAGACATCTATACTTCCCCTTATTTATACTTATTCCCTCCCAAATTATTTAATGGTAAATCTTGACATTACTAACCATCACCATTAGCACCTACCATATTTAATGCTATTGCATACAAAGAAATTATACCTGCCATAAAGCCTCATGAAAAAGCTGAAAAAAGATGCGCTGAGGTTAATATATAGATAGCTTTACATTGAAAACGTAGTTGTCGCCCTGGCCAGTTTGGCTCAGTGGTTACAGCATCAGCCTTCGGACCAAAGGGTCGCAGGTTTGATTCCCAGTCAAGGGCATGTACCTGGGTTGCAGGTTCGATCCCCAGCCCCAGTAGTAGGGGGTCATGAGGTAGGCTACAGTCGATGTGTTTCTAGCACATCAATGTTCCTCTCCTTCTCTATCTCCCCACTCCCTCCCTTCCACTCTGTCTAAAAATCAATGGAAAAATATCCTCAGGTGAGGATTAAAAAAAAAAGTCCCACCCCGAGCTTTATCATTATTTAATGCTGAGAGATGTTTTTCAAGTGTGACATGTCCTTCATATGACTTAACAGTTGGCCTACAGTTAAAAAAAAAGTTTTATTTAGAGAGAAAGTAAAGCTAACATGTACGTTACCATAAGGTTTGCAATTAAAGCTATTTTAAATAATTTAACTGATAACAAATTCTCTGAATACCAATTCCTCTAAATATCATTTATTTAATGAAAATGTCTAATATTTCACCTTTACATTTAAAAATAGTTTTTTTTTTTCTTTATTGAGTTTAGAGAGAGAGGGATAAGGAGAGAGAGAGAAATATCGATGAGAGAGAACATCAACTGGACGCGTGCTGCATGCCCCGCACTGGCGATTTGGCCCACAACCTGGCATGTGCCCTGACTGGGAATCGAACCAGCAACCTCTTGGTGCAAGGGTTGATGCTCAACCACTGAGCCACACTGGCTGGATTTACCTTTACATTTTGACACAAAGTTTAGCTCCCATTATCACCTTAAAATTTGTTCTAGGTCAAAATCCATGTGTGTTTAAATTATATATAATTTCACTACAAGTTGCACATTAATAGTTTGCTATAAAATCCGCAGTATAATTATGGAATATTTGTAAAAATACTCAGTAGAATACTGTTTAAAAGGTCTTCAACATTTAGAAAGACTTACCTCATCACAGTCTCCTTCAACCATGGCATATATAGCTTTCTTAACCAAGTTAGTACCTAGAACATAGATCTGAGTATTAATAAAGGAAAATGTAAGTAGTTTCTTAAAGACACCTAAATTATATCATCATAATGGGCATAGAAATATCAAATGTTGAGTTCTACCTTGAATGCAAATACAAAGATTATCTAAATTAAGTGAGAACATCTTTAGATTTAAAATGAGGCCAAGAGAACCTACACATAGTAATATAAGTTTCCTCTTGAAAGACCTAAGTCCTGATATATTCCTTTTTCTCAGATGTATTTATTTACTCCAAGCAGGAGTTTCTGCTATTCTGTTTGAAGGGAAAAAGGAAAATAGAAAAAGGCAAGATATAATGTGGCAAGCAATCCAGAAACTTCTCAATCTGGCCAGAACTCACTGCGTATGACCCTTGAACCAATCTTGCCAAAGACTACACCAGAATTGCTGTGACCCAAATTGGGCCCAAGACACTGGGTTGGTTCTTACAAACCTTATAGTGCCGGGCACACTGAAGTCTGGCACTCCCAAATGATGTCAGTGGTATGTCTGCAAATGTCTAGCAAAATGTATCCTAGTTTAAGGTCAGCTATATTTGGTACATTAAAGGGAAAACCACTGCCAAATGTGATTTTAAGAGAAGAAATCCAAATTTTATAAGAAATCTCTTAATTCTCAAAACATAAGCAAACACAATATATGGGCCAAACAAAATGTCTGAGGGCTAGGATGCACAATTGCCTATCATTTGCCATGAGACCTTATCAGCTCTTTTTAATACATTAAAGTCTCAAATTTGGTTTATATAACAAGTTTAACTCATTAAAAATGTTATTGGTAAACTATAACACTATAAGTTGGTTAAATCTAATGTATTAAGTAAACCTGTGCTTAATGATTTCTCATGATACCTAAGATTGTGCCTTAAATTGGACAATAACATTAATAGTTGAGAAAAAACTGTGACAAATCTGCTAGCAATTAAAAACTGGTACAGGCACCAAATATTCTTTCACGAATACTAACTTAGCTTCAGTACATCCAAGAATTTGATGTGCTCAGACAAGTACTTGTCAACTTAAACATCTTTTCTATCTTAAACAAAGCTAGTAGGTCCTAAACACTAGGACAGGCTTCCATCACAGTCACCTGGGGAAGCTTCAGCCCTGCTTCTAACAGGACAAACAAGATTCTCAAGGGGAGAGGCCTAAGTATTTGGTTTTTAATCACCCAGATGACTCCAATGACCATTATAAGATTGACTAAAAAAATGCCAAAGAAGGTAGACCCAAGAAAGAGATGATCAGGAACAGTAAGAATTCTCTTTCCTGGTCTTCCCTGAACTGTAATATAATGTTTGATGACTAGAACTGTAATATAATGTTTGATAACAATTTATTCATAATTTTGACTTGATTGAGGTCTACTTCAGCTGGTTGAAGGCTATGTATGATCTAGTGTCCTAATAATGCTATCAAAAACCGCAGTACTTAGTACAATGCAAAGCACTATGAACATAATCAAAAAAATGTTTGGAGGTAAAAAATTGTCACCTGTTACTTATTAAAAAGATAATCTCTCAAACGATTTTTTAAAATCATTAGAAACATTTTGGTGCCCTGGCTGGTGTGGTTCAGTTAGTTGAACATCAACCCTTGCACCAAAAGATAGATGATTCTATTCCTGGTTAGGGCACAGCCTGAGTTTTGGGTTCTATCCTGGGGGTGGGGGTAGGAGGCAGCCAATTGATGTTACACTCTCACATGGATATTTCTCTCTCTCCCTTCCTCTCTTTGAAAAAAAAAAACAATTTAAAAAATCCTTAAATAAAAATATTTTGGAAATATTTTTAAGTAAATCCCATCTTAATTTTCTTCCCTTAGCATCATGATCATTTTTACATATTTACATTTAAGTGTTGATTCAAAATACAAAAATAACTTATGTGTTCTTTTAATGACATAATATTTTTCTTACCAATGCCATTTCTCCTGTATTTGGAATCCACGGCTAACATGGCTATATAACCTCTGCGGAACATCTTTTTGTGCATATCCAACTTGCAAACGATGGCACCTACACACTCCTCCCCTACCATGGCCTTAAAAATAAACAAAATAGTTATGAAGAACATAATGCCACCAGGTACTGCATCCAGGGAAACAGCAACCAACCACTGGTCAGCATTTCTGAGGGAGGAAGAGATAATGAGAATTCTAATAAGAGAGCAAAAGTTTCAGAAATCTAAATCTCAAAGCTCCTTCAAATGTTCTAGTTTTTAAATCTTTCAACATTTTTTAGAACATAAATATCTTATGCTTATTATCAAAGCATAGGGGAAAAAAGCAAGATTCCACAGGTAAACAACATTCAAGTGCTTATAAAAAGTCTCTAATTATAATTAGCTTTATAAGAGGTTTAAAATTATAATTATTTGCAATAAAGACTTACATATTTAAGATTTGGGAAGGGGGAATATGTGACAATGCTTTTTAAAGAAAGTCTGTTCATTAGGATATGATAAAATATTGTGAATCTTGATTATCAACAGAGTACAATAACTTTAAATTTAATTATAATAAAGCTTTAGTGAAAGAAGTGACATAAAATTTATACTTGAACAGTAGAGTCAGATTTTGATTAGGAAAAAATGTAAAAGATATTCAGAAAAAGGGATTGTTTTAAGCTATTCTTTCAATGCTAACCAAGGGGTTTTTGGTATTGAGGTACTACAAAGATTAGATATACGATGGTTTCATTTTTAGGACGCTCTTGACAGTGTGAGTTATTATTATAAAGCTCACTGTATATCTAGAACTCAAAATCAGAGGTTTCTATTTAAACAAAAATGTACAAGTCATTTCCAGAGTCTTTAAGATTTCCAGTGTCACCAGTAAAAATGTTTTTCAAAAATTCCATCACTGATAAAACGTTCTAGTAATACTGTAGTCCAGTAAACATAAATAGGGCAATAGCTTCAGTTGTTTAATAACAAACATATCAGCCATAAATACTTATTTGCTGTAAAGAGCCCTCATTAAAAAATAACTTCAAATTATCTCTTAATAAAATTAACTTTTCAGCCCTGGCAGATTTGGCTCAACAGTTAGAACGTCGGCCTGCGGTCCAGAGAGACCCGGGTTCGGTTCTCACTAAGGGCATGTACCATGGTTACAGTTTGTCCTCAGCCCTGGTTGGGTTGTGCAGAAGGCAGCCACTCGATGTGTCCCTTTCACATTGACGTTTCTTTCTCTCTCTCTCTCTTTTCCTTTCTCTCCCTCCCACTCTATCTGAACAAAAAATGGAAAAATGTCCTCGGGTGAGAATTAAAAAATAATAATAATAATTAACTTTTCAGAAAAAAGTATTTCAACAATTAAAACCAGAAATGGGTTAAAAAATTTATAAGTAAAGCTCAATTTATACTTAATACCTATTTTAATTTAAATTTGTTGTAAGACTGTTTTAGTCCATCTTTCCATAAATTGATAAAAAGTCCTTTTTTAAAAAAAATTGTGGAGAAATCTTTTAGGCACGATAATTCTAATCCATATCATGCAAACCTAAATTAGGTCAGAAGAATCTTTTTGAAGGAATATTAAATTCAACAATCCACACTAATTTTTGTTTTATCACACAATCCAAAACTATTTGGAGCCATTTTCATTCATGATAAATCAATCTGGTGCTTTCAAAATCTTTTGAAAACTAAAATTTCTTTCTATATTAAGACCTGAAATATACACAAAAGTTGCTTAGCTGAACAATTCTGACAGCATTTTCTGATATGAAAACTCACTTCAAACATGTGTATGTGGTTGTGTGAGCATGTGTACATGTCACAGACCAAATGGCACATTAAATAAAAAATCTGGACCTAACCTTGTCAGGGAAAATGGAAAGCTATATAAATCTATGATACGAAACCGTAGAATAGCTACTCTTCACACTGAATAAACCATTCAAAAAAGGAAAAATTTAAAACCACTGGATACAATACAGTTGGACGATACTTTCAAATTAGATAGGAATTTCAAACAAGTCTTCTTTGTCTTTTGACCAACGAAGTAACAAGCGAACAAAGTGTTTTAGTTCCCTCTTGGACTAGATTGGTTTCTTCCTAATTAAGAATCTATAAGAGCAAGAATCATTTAAAAATAAAAGCCCAATATATAATATATTATTATTAACAAGATGTTGGTAGTTAGAAAGGTCAATGCTTTTTTCCTAATAATCTGCTGATGAATATACACTTACCAGAATCACTAAACTGCTTGTCCATTTTTCTAAATAAAAGCTTCTGCACAAACATTTTGGAAATCATGCTATTAAATTTTTTTAGATGGGAACGGAAAAATTTCTGGCAAGATTAAGACTTAACTCTAAAGGCCAATTTATCAATCTATAGTACTTGAAAAATATAAATTGTGTGAAATACAGATTCCCAAATTCCAGAACACTACAAATAGGAAATAAGTGTTTCCAAAGGAAGCTGCAAAGATAAATTTAGAACAAATAAATGGAAATACTATACATCACTGGTAATAAATTTAAGAAGTTCGAAAACACACCAACAATAAATACCATGAACTAAAAAGAGGTAGTGAGAAATTAGTTAAGTACATTGTCCAGTGCCTCCCATTTGTATAGTGCCTCCCATTTGTATAGTACTCTATTTTCACATGTCACAATGATTAGAAAGAATACTAAGAAACTGTCATTTCGCCCTGGACAGCTGGCTCAGTTAGTTGGAGCATTGTCCCATACACTGAAAGGTTTCAGGTTCGATTCCCAGTCAGCGAACATACCTAGGCTACAGGTTCAATCCCTGGTCAGGGCACTGCAGGAGGTAACAATGTTTCTCTCTCTCTCTAAAAATCAATAAAACATATCTTCCAGTGAAGATTTAAAACAACAAACAATTATCATTTCTGTTAGTCAAATATGGTCAAGTACTGGCAATTTTTGAAGGTTCAACTTTCTATACTCCATTTGCTCCATCATAGGTTCCTCATGGAAACCAGAAATATTTTGGAGGTTTCTAATAACTTGACATTGATGTTTATAAGAACATCTGTCCCTTGATGATGTATAACTTCATGACATAATGATCTTCACTGAATGGGTTAAGGGTATATCATTTTTCAGTTTCTTGTTTCCATGAGGCCAGGAGACCTGGGTTCTAGCTTTACCTTCCTATCACTAAATATCTAGACATTTAAACATTTTAAAGTCACTCTGGTCCTTAATGTTTTTCATTAAAAAAATAAAGTTGAGCTTGATTAGCTCTAGGATTCTTTACAGTTCTAAAATAGTATTATTTAAAATAAATCTGTACATTTATATTTGTTTTAAATTAGTTTGAATTTATGGGAAATTCATATTTTTTAAATGTCAATAAAAAGGCCCCAGTGCTACATGGCCTCTAAAAGTTTAGCTGTTGTTTTATGTTCCATACTACTAGATTCATGATCACACTAGTAAATCTTTATAGGTCAACCACTTGTTTGTATCTCAATTTCTAGATATTCAGAATTTAATGTTAAACAAACTGTCTCTTAAGGGCTAAAGTACAAATTAACCGGTGAACTGGGAGGAGTCTACATAAAATCAAAACTAAAGTTTACTAATAAGTTTAGCAGAGTCTAAAATGGCAGACAAGTTGAGAGAGGCCTAGGTAATATCAGAACTCAAAAGTTGATTAAATATCATATACAAGGGTGGGCAAAAGTAGGTTTCCAGTTGTTCATATGAAAAAGTAATACAATAACTAATAAATAATATAAGAATATATTGTGTTTCATGTACTCACAACTGTAAACTGACTTTTACCCTCCCCTGCATATTCAACATTTTCTGAAATTAACAGAAATAAATTTACTATTTCGATTTAAAGTGTGACTCAACTGTACACTTCTTGGGTTAATTTACAGTTAAATCAAGCTACAATTTTTAGCAATTACAATGGCATTTGATAGGACATTTATAATAGTGCCAAAAAAAAATCATTTCTCCATTTTTTAATACAATGGTTAGAATCCTAAGAGGAATTTTGTAGACTATAAAATAGTTTCCACAGTTTGAAAAATAAACATACCAAACTTAAGTTTAGCAAAGTGAACACAGAAAATAGCAAATTATTTACAATACTGACGATATATTTTCAAAGTCAAAAAGATGGATTTCTGAAGTACTGTTAAAACATCTTGCGGGAATTACCATGTGCAACTAAATCAACGCTGAAACAATACATAATGGTAGTAGTGGCTTTTCCCTTTACATATCATAAAATACTTCTTAAAAGCATGTTGCCTTTCAGTAAAAATTCAATGAAAACAACATGCTTGTGAGTATAGATACAAAGCATGTACCTGCAGTTAATATAAGTAAAAGGTTCAAATAGAGTGAAATTGGTCAATATAATTGGGAAAAAACCATTGGTAATGCAAGTACTAGGTAGAGTTTTAAAACACTGTTCAGCTTATTTGTAGCCCGGTCTTTTTTGCTTACATATAAATAAATATTTTCTGCCAATTATAGTTCATACAAGCCAGTGGTACTACTAGTATTTAGGCATATCTATGACCAGTTTCTTAAAAAAAAAAAAAAATTAAGTTAGTAACAATTTTATACTTAGTCTCCTACATTTCACAAAAGGGTATTTTGTTCAAGTTTCAATTTTTCAGCCACCAGAAATGTTAGTAGCGCCTTCTGCAATCAAGCACCAGAAAGCAGGCTGGCTACAAATGTTAACTGTCCTGTTGAAGTAAAAGGAAACAATCTCCATAATTACAGAATATGCTTGTAAGATTTAATTCTCCAATGTGGCCACAGCAAGTTCACTGACAATCATGTTCACCAAAACATGTTTATGCACACACTCTTCCATGATTATAGCTGTAACTGAGAGATTAATAAGGTCTGCATCCGAACAGAATCATGATCAAATTAAATGACTGCAAAGTACTTTGAGGATGAGGGAGGATAATTAAAGAGGTTAAACATTGTAAGCTAATGCAAACAGGACATACGACCCCCAACATGCAACATCCAGGCTTGTTGCGTTTACATCACTATCACGTTAACCCGGGCCGTGAATTCTTACCTTCAAAAGTTTCATCAAATACCTAGGCGCGTGTACACGCACTTTACATCACGCAGCGCACTAGGAAAAGCAGGACAGATCCACTGCTATTCTCTGCCCTCACACTCCCTGCCCTGCACGGCCTGGATCTCTGCTGGGTTCACCCTCTTTTCATTCCATCCACTTACCAAGAAACACAGCTGTGGCCAGTTGTGGATAAAATATCTATAGGTATAAATGGAGTAGGGTTCAGACAGATCTTTGGTGATCAGTCTCATGATATCGGGCATTTGTAGCTCGGATTCATATCGGACATAACGTATCGTCCGATCCTCCCCAGGCTCAACCTCCCTGCCTGAGGGGCTTCTTAAACTGCAGCCGGCGGTCAGGGATGAAGACAGCAGCCGCACCTGCTCGTTCTCCTCCTCCTCCTGCTCGGTGCCCTCCGCCAGTCCATTGCGGGCCGCCGTGGGGTCGCTCGCCGCCGCTGCCTCTGCGGGGCTGGGGCGCGCAGTTCTCGCATTGCTGGGGAGGCAGTGAGGGGGGCTCTCGCCCGAGTGTACCCCGGCTCCTTTTGTTGCAGTCGCTCTGGGGCCCCCGTCGGGGGTCGCCGTGGTCGTGGCCGCCTCGGCCGCGCTTAAAACCTTGCTCTTGAGAGAGGCGGCCGCCCGGAGGTGCCGCAGTTCGGGGCTGATCAATCCGTTGAGCTGCTGCTGCTGCTCCTGCGGCGGCTGAGGGCACCGGAGGCACGGATGCCCCTTGGCCGCCGCCGTCGCCTCGCCGCCCGCCGGACTCCTGCCGCCGCCGCCTTCGTGCTCCTCGTCGTCCTCCTCGTCCTCGCTGCAGCAGGCCAGGGCGGCCCCCGCCGGGAAGGGGCAGCGGGGCTCAGCCACTGCCGAGGCCGGAGGTGCCGGGGGTGGGAGGAGGCTGCTAGGCCCAGGCGGTACCTCCGCCATCCTAGAGGCGACACAGACCGAGGAAGGAGGCCATGAGACCCGGCCGACGGGCGCGGAGCAACGGGAGCGGCGGGCGGGGGGCGACGGAGTTGGGGGGAACAAAGGCAGAAACCGTCCCTCACCGAGGTGCCCCCCAATTCCGCGGCGCCCCCCCCCCCACGCTCTTCAGCGCCGCCCAGCTGCTCAGCCGGCCACCGTCCCCGTCCGCCCGGGCCCATCCGCCGGTCCTGTCACCGCTGCCCCTCCCCGTCCCCTCCGCGAGGCTCACCCGGCACAGGTCCCCGCCGCCACTGCCGCCACTCCTCTTTCTCCTCAGCCGCTGCCGCCGCCTCCTTCGCCGCCGCGGCCGCCTCCGCCGCCAAGGCTCACACTCAGCCGCCGTCGCCGTAAAGCGCCTCGGCTGTTACCCCGGGTAAAGTTTCCTGGGCCTGGCTTTACGACACTTCCCTGCCTGCCGGCTGCCGGGGCCAAGGGAAAGGGGCGTGGAGGGAGGTGACCTGTGAAGGGGCGGCGACGAAGGTGTCTACTGCGGGTTTCGGGGGAGGCGCGTGCTAATGGGTAGGGCTGTGGGCGGGGAAGTCGCTGACGGCTTTGGAGTAACTTGCTCTCCACCTACCGTCCCCGGCTCGGCTCGGGGCCCCTCAGCCCGCGGAGCTGGCAGTGCGGAGCCGGGGAGGCAGGAGCGGGCCGGGCGCTGCCTGGTCCGAGCCCGCCGCCCCCTCGGCGCTGCCGCAGAGCCCGCCCGCCCGGGCCTGCCGACCCGGCCGTGTACAAACCTCCTAAAAATGCTTTTCCTCTGCTGGGTCTCGTTTAACGTTTGCCCTACAGGGGGCGAGGGGGACGGTTACCCGAGTCTCTTAAACGTGGAACACATCAGGGGAGGAAATCGGAAAGCAGAGGAAGTTACAATGAGAATTAAGTTTAATTAGTCTTTGCCCCTTTAAGGCAGGAGAAGGCGGACAGGTAGTCCTCTTCCTCGGTAAGGCTGTCCCCCACCCCGCCCAGGAAAATTGGAGGTAAAGGTGAGGAACAGGTGTTGGACTGCCGCAAGTCGGGGTGGAGCGAGTGACGGCGACCAAAGCACGTTCCCATGCAACATACAGATCGTGTGCCATGGAACTCACTCCACCTTTGGTTAATAACACTCTTATTTACCAGTGCACCCCAATAAATTTAATTTTAAAAAATCATAAAAGAACTAAAAAAGTCAATAAACTCATGTGCTGGGGTAAGGATTTAAAAAAGAAAGAAAGAAGAAAAACGCATTTCAAAACTTGTTACACGAGTTGTAGGAGGGCCGGAACCAGCAGCGGGGCGCCCCACCCTCTCCGCCCAGCGCCGGCCGAAGTGCACGCGCAAGGCTGGAGCTGCCCGCGCTCGAGTGTGCGTGGCCCGCTCGCTCCGCTCGACCACAGCCGATGATTTTCAGCAGATCTGTTCTAAGGGGAACGCAGGTCTTGTAACTCAAATTAACCTTTTAAACAAGTGCATGCAGCACATGGACGTTTTTAGGGATGTAATTCTGACTAATGATGTTTGCAAGTTTTTGCCGTAATCTAAACTGTATAAAGTGATATTCACTGAGCAGAGCTGCTGTTAGATACAATTGTGAGGGTCCTTGTCACTAAAGATGCTAAGGAAAACTTAATCACTTTACATAAAAAGTTCAACTTATACTGATTCAAAATAATAAAAGTTGTTACTATGTGCCAGACATCTTACATGTATTTATTAACTCATTTATAGGTCTCCGTAAATACTCATTTATAGGTTTTTATAGAAATACTAACATTTGTGCATATATAGACAGAAGCTTTCTTATTTCAGCCTTGTTTATAATAGAAAAAACAATTCAAACCACCTAAGTATCTATCTATGCACGAATGACTAAATAAACTTATGATACATAAATACTGTTCATTGTTATTGTTTAAAACATTGAAATATATATATATATCTATATCTACATATATAGATATAGATATATATGTACTATTCTAGTTACTCTGGCTAGAGACCTCAGTTCCATTCCATGTAGACCTCTTCCTGTTGTCTCATAGCATGTTGGCTGGGTTCCAGGAAAGAGAGAGGGAAAAAGGGAGGGAGGGAGAGAAAGAGAAAGAGAGAGAAAGGAGGAGGAGGCGAGGGGAGGGGAAGGGGATTACTTTTTATGACCTAGCTTTAGAAGTCTTACAGTGTCAATTCAATTTTGCTGCATTCTATTTATCCATGCCATTACAAAGTCTCATCCAGGTTTAAGAGGCGAGGAAAAAGACCCTAACTCTTGAGGGGCAGAGACAAGGTTCTTAAAGAGCATGTGAGACCAGAAATATTGCTGTGGCCATTTTTGTAAAATACAAGTTTGCCGTACGTGCTTATATTAAAAGAACTCCTAAACACTTTAAGAGGGTAAAATGAATGAGATGCATAATAAGTACAATGTGATACCATTTATGGTTTTTAAAAACTACAAAACAACCCCATATTTCCAAATGTTCATACATTATTTAAAGATACATATTTTTCAAACTGAGGCAGGGTAGTAAAAAGCTAGGGAAATTCCTTGACAAGTGGAATAAGGGAAACTGAGACAAATAATTAAGCAAGGCCAAACAATTTGAGCAATTTACAACTAGCTACTGAATCACAAGGTTTTATCTTCCCTAAGAACACTTAAGAGCAAATGGTTTACACATTCCAGACCTTCCTGGAGCAGACTGGCTTTGGTCCCTCCTTCAGTGACATTCTTTAAAAATACAACTAAGGCCCTAGCTGGTTTGGCTCAGCGGTTAGAGTGACTGCCCATAAACCAAAGAGTCCTAGGTTTGATTCCAGCTAATGGTACGTACCTCAGTTGCAGTTCATTCCCGGCCCTGGTTGGGGTCATGTGGGAGGCAATCAATAGATGTGTCTCTCTCACCTCTCTCTCTCTCTCTCTCTCTTTCTCTCTCTCTCTCTCTCTCTTCCTCCCTCCCTCCCTCCCGCTATATCTAAAGATAAAGGGAAAAATATACTGGGGTGAGTATTAAAAAAAGAAAAGAAAACAAAACAGAAAATAATCCTGACCCTTCTATACACACATTTTGATGAATCAACATATTGAAGGGCACACCTGGAAATATATTGAATAGTCTGTTAAGACTCTCCCCTGAGACCTCCCCTAGGACTCCTGCAGGCTAAAGAAAGTTGAAAAGCCTCAAGACAAAGGACCCACTGCGTGCTCTCACCAGAGCATGCCCACACCTTGTAGCTCTGCTCTCTTTCTCTTAAGTTCCAAGGGTCCCCATGAGACTCACAATCAGGGGAGCAGCATGCAAGTGGCAGCCCTTCCAGGTTTACCCGCTGAACCTGTATCCAAGGCCCCTTTTTTCTCTGACTTTCCAGTAAGTTAACAGCAGCCGTGCCTTGGCTCACTTCTTTTACTGTAACTTTACTTCTTAGCGAGCCTCACTTCTTTCCTAGTTTCTAGAAAGCCAAAGCAGCCCTGCCTAGGCTCTCTCCTGTTGCTTCTTCTACCTTAAGCCTTTTCTTTGTTTCCTTTATTTTACTGTCCCCAGCTTTAATAAACATACTCTCAAAATCAGTTGGACTTGTATTGTGAAATCTTACCTGCATGAAGTCAAAAACCCACACACTATCGGCTGACCTGAGGCAGACTGGTTTCAGGCCTGGTACACGTCTGGTAAAAAACGATATGGTTTCTAAATGTAACCTGGGTGTTCAGCCAAGAAATAATCTCTTCAAGTCATGCAGGAAAAACTGTCCAAGATGCTCCCACACAATTCCCTTATTTATTTTTAATCCTCACCCAAGAATATTTTTCCATTGATTTTTTTCAGATAGATAGAGTGGGAGTTAGGGAAGGAGAGAAAGAGAAACATTAATGTAAAAGAGACACATCGACTGGTTGCCTCCCGCATACAACTGGGTATCGAACCTGAAACTGAGGTACGTCTACTTGACTTGGAATTGAACCTTTGATTCTTCCATCTGCAGGCTGACGCTCTAACTACTGAGCTAAACCAGCCAGGGCACCCACACAGTTCCTTAAGATATGGATAAGGGTAATTCTTACTTAGAGAAATGTCTTTCACTCCCTAAATATGGAATATAATCCTCTAGTAAGAAAGATGTCACTCTTTTGTAATAAATGACCGCTGGCAAGTCTTCATGTTCTTTCCATATTGTAACTTGGCATTGAGGTTTCTCACACTGAGGGGCAGACTTGATGTTGCAAAGTTACTTTAAGAAAGATGAGAGTTATGTGTAACCAATGGACATAGACAACAATGCTGGGGTGGGGGGGTGGATGAGGAGGAGGGTGTCTAGGGGGGAAAAAGGAGAAATATCTGTAACAAAAATAAATTAATAAAAATTGGGGGGGGGAAGTAAAAATAAAGAAAGATGAGAGTTATAAAAACCTTCTTGAAGTCAGGAACTGAGTCTTCTTCACTTTGTATTCACATATCTAACACATAAAGGGGACAGGTTAAGTTTTTTGACTGAGTTATGCTATTCTCTCATTCAGCAGTCCAGGAGGTTTATAATTAAGCAAAGTAAATTATAGTCTCCTTACTAATGAATGAGCTAATAAGAGTTCTGATATCTAAGCTCCAGTGACTCCACTTTATATCCCAATATTAAAATCTCAATAATAATTTTCTAAATCAGATGACATCACTAAGAAATTTGTACTTATACTTATGAAATCTTTTATTTTTTAAGTTTATTTTTTATTGTTGACATTATTACAGATGTCTCCTATTTTTCCTCCACTCCCCCTGAAATCTTTTTTACTCATGTTTATGAGTAATATGATGATAGCATTATTTTAGAAATAGAAATTAGATTATTTCACTCATGATTTGCCTATTATGAGACTCTGAAAAGACAACTATCTCTATGAGCAATGACTTTGTAAGAAATGGATTGTCTCAGCGCCAGTGAAATGTAAGCAGTGATATTCTTCTATGGATAATTAGAATACTCATTGCTTTGTAATATTCTATGATGCCATAGCCACTTTTTTTATTGTCTTTGTTCTCTTTTGAACAACGAAAGGATACACTTTAATCTTTTTAGAAGAAATTAAATCAATTAAAATAACCAATAACAATTTCAAAACAAAATCCTAAGGCAACTTCCTGAAGTTAGCTTGGAAGGAGAAAATTTTCTTCCAAATTCTTTCTAACAGCTAGACGTTTTTCTTTTATTGGCTAGGTGTATCTACCTGAAAGGTAACTGTGGGAATGAAGACATTACTATTAGAGAGATGCTTTAAGTTCCCTTGACTCAGCAGGATGATATGTTATGTGCCACAGGCACACACATTGAATAATTTAAATATTTATATAATTTTATATGCCATGTAGTTCTTAATCTGACTAATCCTATCTATTAGACATAAAGCCTTGAATATGA